TCCAAGACCCTTCCTTGCACCATCGTTCGATCGCCGCAGCAGTGGACGTCACGTGAGCCGCTGGGAGGCCACTGTCGTTAAAGGCCTTGTCATCAATCTTCGCGTTCAACTCCTCGGACATGGGGTTTGTCCAGGAGTGTCCGCTGTGGGAAATCTTCCTCGCCTGACAGGGTACATACACACATTATTATTCGCGAAGCACTTTCAGAAAGACCAAGGCCTTGGACGGAAAAAACTTCTTGCGCACGCGCTGGCGATCCGTGTCCACGCGATGGCGATAGACGGCGTCTTCCTCCGCCACGGGCTCCGCGCGCAGGCGTCTCCGATGTGCCAGAATCCTCGACCAGTCGCCGGCCGCCACCAGCCGTCGCGCGCCTTCCTCCAAGTCCGCAAAATCCGGAATGACCTCTCCGATGCGGGCCAGAGCCTCCTCGAAGATGTCCTCATCATTCTTCAAGAAGACCTGCAGCAAGGATGTAACATGGCACGGCGCAAGAGGACACTGCATGCGTACGGTTACTGAGATGTCCGAGCCCCGTGGCCTGCAACGCCTGCCTGATTGCCGTCCGGCCACGGCCGTCATGGACGCACTCGTCGAGCCTCTCCAAGTCGCAGAAGAGGCACTGCCCTCCGGGCCGCTGAACCTGGACCGGCCCACCGGAACGAGCTTGGCCGAAGCGGCAGGGGCTGGCCGCAGTGCCGGCACAAACGGACGGCGTGAAGACTGCGGGCAGATTAAGCTAACAAGGCAAATCTTTCTTGAGGGTGTAACTCATTCATCAAGTGCCTAAGTCCCACTGCTCAACAATTGCCATGAGATGCTGCCACGGTACATGCAGTGCGCCCTTGCTCTCGCCCTTTGTGTAGAAGGGGCAGCCCTCGGTAGCGTACGGGCTCAAAGCAAACTTTGGCCAGCGCGCAGAGGGGTCTGACGCGTGGATGCGCTTCTGTCGCCCGTCAATGCCAGCCTTGAACGGCTGGGGGTTCCTGGCGTACCGTCTGGAGCTTTTCGGAGCCATGGCGGCGTCTCAGTCAAATGTGCTAGAAATGAAGCTGGCACTCGCGCAGAAGCAGCTCTGCACATGTTCAGTTTGCTCAGATATGCACACGCGACACACAAGTACGGATCAGCCTGTTTTACTCGTCTTTGGGCATGTGAAATGTGAGTGTTACCTGCTACACGCCCTACAAAAAATCTCAGGTGAGGCTTTCATCACCGAACTCAATATTTCATGGCAGGTCTCACTCGCCCCCTGCCTCTGCAGCAGGCGCCGCGTCGACAGCAGCTGCTGGACGACGAACGATGGCAGCAGTGCTCCGCTGTTCACAGTGGTCCACACGGCGGCGGAACTCCTCCGCAGTCGCTGAGCTCTTGAACCGGTCTAAGCGCTCCAGAGCAAGCCGGTATTGCTCTTCCGAGCTGCTCTTGATGGCCTTCAAGGCTGCAGTCAGGTCTCCACCTTTGCGGGAAAGCAATGCTTGCTCCAGACTTCCGGCGTCACAGAGCGGACAGAGTCGGCCGCTGGAGACATCGACTGGCTCGCCTCTTGCAGCCTTCCAGGGGCAAGCACCCTGCCAGCCGCACAGCGAGAACAAGGCAAAGGTGCTCCGAGGCATCGTGGACAAAGCAGAAACCAGTTTACCAGGACAAGGGCTGCTGTGACAGAAAAATCTACGGAAGAGTGGCTTACAAGCTTGGTGCACATGTCAGAATCATGTTCAAATCGGGTGTCCGTAGACAGGTATAAAACTGCATGCCAACCTGACTCCAGCATCGAGATCCTTTTTTTGGGCACTCCAGGAGGCCGGTCGTCATCTTACAAAAAATCTTGTTCGCAACTTCTACTTGCAAGCTCTCACTCAGCCGCCCTCTTGCGCTTCTTCGGGCGCTCTTCGACAGCAGCTGCCGTGGTGGAAACCGAGGACTTGGCAGCCGGCACGGCGCGGTCCAGGCGCACGAACTGCTGAGCGCCCGTGGGATGATGATAAGCCACGGGAGCCGGGTAGGTCACGGGCGCGCTGAGGACCCAGGCCCACCACCGACGCCAGCGAAACTTGTCCATGTGTTCTCTGGAGACCTGGTGCTTGGACATGTTTGCAGGAAGCAGAACATAATGCTCCTCGTAACCTTCCACAGCCAGCAACTCGCCGCCCTCGTCCATGCGGCCCACAGGCAAGCAATCGACGATCTCGACCTCCCCCAGCAGTTGGCCAGTGCCTATACCGGCTAGGGCGACACGCTCCCATTTCATCGTGCGAGAGCCTCAAAGTTCCCACACCTTTGTGCCGCTGAGGATGTTGCGAATCCAGTTTTCCTCCACCATGAAGGCAGACGGCGGGAGGCTGCGCGAGGGGGCCATGCTGTCCGCTGAGCTTCCACACCAAGTTAGGCCTGAGACTACTATGGGGCAGCATTGCGGTCACGGATCATGTCTGCTTGCAGTCTGCTTTCACTGTGACAACCGGCGACATGCAACTGGGCTATAGAGCGTGCGCCAAGGTTCAGCATTTGCGCCTGGAAGGCCTCGATTTCTAGTTCAGGCTGTGACACTTAACAGGTGAAACCTCATGGTGAACGGTGAGACAAACCTGCGCTCGGAAGTAGCAGTAAACGTGACACCTGTAGAGAACGCCACAGCAGCCTGCAGGAGCTGCCTCCAGGGACATCGCCACGCCTCAGATGGGGTGGCCCTATGGGATTTCTCATTTTCTAGCTTCCCGTTTTGAAGACTCAGCAGTATCAGATTTCAAAATTTCAAGAACCCGATATGATTAGGGAGGAGAGGGTTCCCAGAAATGCAAAACTTTGCTGTGCAGACTTGCAGCCAGGGAGCATAAATTTGGATTTTGGTGTTTCGTCCAAAACCTCCTGCGCAGACACCACTTCCCGAAGTGAAAACCCAACCGTCCCAAAACCAAAAACCGTTACCGAACGCAGGAGGTTTTGTAGGAGAACTATCGCTCCACTAATAATTGTTTTGAAAAAATGAACATAAAACCGGCCGCAGTACTTTGCCATTTCGTCGAAATCCAT